ATAAACGTGTGTTAATACAAGTATTTTCCATTTTTAGCCAACCCATAAAAATTTGACAGGCCGTGGAAAAACCTGGTGTCATTTTCATGTATTTACAGATGCTAAAATAGTGAAGTCTAAGCTTTAAAATATGTTTTCTAATAAAATTACTTTTGGACTGTGAATGTGCTTTTCTCTAAACATATGCCCAACTGGCTGTGTGTTATGAGCACAAATTAAAGATTGAAATAGGCTCAAAATTGTTTTCAAATAGTTACCTCTGCACACATAAGGAATAAATTAACAAGTTCCATCCAAAATGTAAGAATTTATTAACAAATAAAAAAACAAGTAAAAAAAAAGTTACCGGTAACAACTCTTGACTAAACTTGTGAAGATTTAACAAAACAAGTAAAAAGAAATTAAAAATGGTAAAATAATCCCCATGATCATTAACAACATGGAATGATAACACAGTTTGGCATTTCGTGTTTATCTTGAAGAGTTTGAACTGAGGACAAATTATCCTATAACTACTATAATTTTGAGCAACTGGAATGCCCTCAACACTAGAACTCCCAAGGCTGTCATTTTGACGGTTCTGAGATTTTAAAGGGAAAGAACTATATTTAAAATTTATCTTATGTTGCTCATGTTCATTGACTTTTTCTGTTTCTTTATTTCCTTCATTTTCATGTAGTTTTTATAATAAGATCAAAACATAAATGTTTCAAAATATTGACGATAGCGATTCGGGCGGAGAGGGAGAGACCGATGAGGAGGACTGGAGAGGTAGCGTCTCAGATTCTGACAGCAAGTCCGAGAATGATCACCCATCCCAGGGAAAACACAGACATAAGTTTTGTACTCATTATGAATACACTATGGATACACACAAAATTGAAAAAATACATCAAAAGTTCAACATATGCTTGCGTTTTAGGAGATTCTGGGATGTCAAGCATAAGCTGGCTAAATCGGCAAGGTTTTACAGGGACCTAAAGGGGTTCTAGATTAATTTTCATCCTATAGGATCCGAAAAGAAAATCTCCTTATATTATCCCCATAAAATAAAAAATAAAAAAGTGCTCTAAAATTTAGCATTTTATTTGCGTAATCAGGAGGAATGTCAGGAGAGGGGACAACTCTGAAGGCAAGAATACTTCAAATCATTTTCCAAATAAACTTAAAACTTTTTTTTTTTCAGTTTTTAACTGAAACTGCCCCCTGCTTAGGGAATATATACTTGAACGAAGAAGCAAAATTTTAAATTCTTAATAAAATCAGAACACTTCAATAAAACAAACTAAATTAGTACATGTCAGATTGTCTGGATGTTTTTGAGGACCCCAATGCAGAGAGACCGATATTGCAGTTTGCAGATTTAATAAGTTTCCAAAGTCAACTGAGGCAAAGAAAATCAAAAAAAATAAAAAATACTGATAACCAAAATCTAGGAGAACATCAGGGAAAAACACACATGAGGAGCCAGGAAACAACAGAGCAACAAAACAACAAACCTTCACTGAGTGAAGGCTCTGCTGCTCTTTATATCCCAGTACTCTGATGAGACTGATGAGCTCCACCTGTGTAGACTACCCAGGTTCTCTACAAAGATCATCTCAGGAAGAGATGCATAACTCAGACTCAAACAAGGCACCCTGACAGACATACATAATCAATACTGAAGATAGAGTGACGTATCGCCTGGATGATATTTTTGGCTGCTGTTTACATTTTGTTTTTTTTATCTGCATGGGCTGATGCATGCATGCGTTCATTCATTCAGTTGTTCATTCAGTAGCTATCCCTTGAGATCAATGTTTGCATTGCCTCTCTCTACATTTGCTATTTATTGTTATTGTTTTATTTGTTGAAATTTAGCTTATTTATTAAAATGGACACTTTTGTAATATTTGTTATTATTTTACCATCTTTATAATGAAACAGAAAAACAAAGCTTCAAAAATCAGACCCCCAAAAATATGAGGCACATTTTGGACTTTGGCCATAAAAAAAAAAACTTGAGTTGGTTGTTCCACAGTCATTTTAAGGTTTTTTCTAGCTCGTTGGAGTTCCTTTAGCAGGGACACTCTAGACTTGCAGAAAATAGTGAAAAAAAACAGAAATAAAAGTGAAGTTTTATGCTATTACTCTTCTCAAGTTTCAATGTTTTTGATTCTATAAAAGCTTAATGATCAATTGCATACAAATCTTTACTATTTTTTTTATTTTTTCAATTCAGGAATTATGGAACATTATAGGGGCTATCGCCTTATAAGACAGCAAATAGCGACTTTTCTTGCTAGGGAGTTGGCAACACTGGGGAAAATACATTTTGACCCCCCAAAAAAAGTCTTTAAATATAAGAACAAACGTAGAATTAAATTGAAATGGGTGTGCTCCATTTATGTAATCATGTAGCAGGATTAACCCTTTGTTTCAGTTGATCATGAGACAAGGGATTTATTAATTTTTATTTCTCAAGAGTGCTTAGTTCGGAAATGTGTTAATGGTCCCTCTGGTACCCACCTCTGGTAAGAACAGGGAGTAACAGAAGTTACAGAAGTAACAGAAGTCTGAGCTCCTGAATCGAATCGATCGTGAGATAGGTGCCGCTAACTCAGGCAAGCTTGAATATCTAACTTCCCTGCAGCAATTCATGAAAGATTTCTGAAGCAATCTTAGAGTTCAAAAAGTTATTGTTCTCCGCACATCCCATACTGCTGTGTTCTTTCTATATTGTGGCATTTTGAAACAACTTTGTCACGAAAGGCCAGCGGCATTGCAGCCACGCAAAATTCTGCAGGCAACTCTTAGGACAGCTCAGTGACAGTACTAGGGGGCTATTTCATAATTTGGATATTAAAAAAAATATAGTTTTGACTAGTTAAAATTAAATGAAATATCTTGATTATAATTCTGGATGTGTGACAAATCAGATGTCGTCCTTTGGGATATCTCAAAAGGCATTTTGACTCAAAATGTGATTAAAGATATCTTGAATTGTTGTTTTGCCTAGACATAGTATTATTTCAGATATCTTAAAAACATCATTAAGGGCAGTCAAAATTTAGCAAATAATGTTTGTCTATTGTATTCCGTAAAAGTAAAAATAAAAAATCCACTGGACCTGGTTTCCAAGGTTTGAAGACATTTCGCTTCCCCTCCAGGAAGCTTGCTCAATTCAATGCCTGGATCCGCAGGGAGTTTGAGGCTTTTTATAGCAAGGCCTTGTATTGCTTGGAAACATGCAAATTGAAACTGACGAGCGGGTCGTTTGCATTTAAATTTCTGTATCTCTATAATGGGTCTGTATTATGAGTTGTCTTCTCAAATCATAGGGCCCCATGTCTGTCTTTGCCTATGGCCCCAAATTTCCTAAATCCGCCCCTGCACATGAGCCTACTCCAATAAGCTAATAACCGTAGCCCTGCTCTTATTGGAGTTCAGAGGGCTTATATGTGGTCGAAGCAGCTCCTCTCTCTTCCTCTCAAGGCTCAAAAGATTACCTCTCTCAGGTTTATTAGCTTAACAGGTGTGTTGCTCTCAGCTCTGTGTATGGGCAGGGAGTGTGGCTTGATCTATCAGTGTGAGCTGCAGAACCCCAACACAAAGCGCCACCTTGTGGTGGAGGTGATAACTACTTGATAACTTTTTCAAGTTTTTTTTATTACATAGATGGATCAAGTAACCATGTGGGTTTCATAGTCTTAAAGATTAACAGGGTGTCTGCCCCATAGATTATAAACTGAAAGTATGTTTCAGAGTCATACTACAAAAAGATTTGCCTACCTTTTAGAAAATTAAAGACCACCAATAAACTTGGAGTTTGGGGACAAAATGTGTTGTGTGTGTTAGTAACACAAGATGCAATTCTATTTATGTTTCATTTATTTTTTTGTGTGTGTTCACAGGTACTCGCAATGGTTATGTTGATTTTTTTTCATATCTAAAATGGAGAACTGTCAAGCTACAGTTTGCACCACCATTACTTCCATATTTAAACAATTCCCAGACTACCTTTTTATTAAATGCATTTATTATTTTATTGATGCTCAGTTCCATTTTTTTCCTTACACTTCAAGGGAAAGCTAAAAATAGATAGAAACTGATTAGGGAAATGAATGGCTGTCAGAAGTATCAGTTAGAACGGTTTCAGACTTCTGTTGTCTTGCCCTGCAACGTTTACCCCTTATTCACAGACTTCATCATCTGTTTTTCTTCTGTCACAAGTAGAAATATTTCTTGTCAAATTGGTAATCCCTACCAGTTCCATGGTGCCACAACATGACAGACTATTTCCCTGCCTTGTCCATCATAATATGGATCATGTCTATTTCAGATGGAGCTACCCTGAGCAATTTCTAAAAAACAATTGAGCCAGACAAGAAGTCAGACAGGGAAAGATTAAAGCAGATCCAATACATTTCATAGCAAGAGGAGAAGCTGTCTTGATGCCTGATTGGATCTCACACACACTGGGTGTGGAATGCCGCATGGCAAATTTTGAAATTATGATAGTATGTAGTTTGTGCGCATCCGCTTCAGGTATTATCCCTGCTACAGCAAAATGAATCAGATTAATGGCTCGTTACCAGGCCTTTGCCAAACTTGATGGCATGCTAAAGAGATAAGTAGTAATTTTATTCAGCTGTGTTTGAGCAGGAATGTGATGCAGAGTGGCTCTCAAGGACTGGATTTTTATGACCCCGATTTCAGTTTAGTATGTTACAGAAAAACCACAACTGGTTTTACCGTTAGGTTCTATAAATAACTTAACCTAAGCGAGTAATTTACATTAAATAAGCAGAGATAGAAAAATAAAATTGAAGATGCTGTATCTAAACCCGTTTATCGCTAAGTTAATTACTGCTAATTAATTAATCCATATATATATATATATATATATATATATATATATATATATATATATATATATATGTATTGTCCTCTGATAATTTATAACTGTCTTTGTTTAGTTCGAACTTTACATTTTTATGTCTCTCTTTTCTCCAAAGGGTGATGAGGTCCTCACAGTCATCAAAATGAAGGCTCAGTGGCCAGCTTGGCAACCTCTTAATGTGTAAGAAACATTTAATCTTGAAAGTAGCATATTGTCAAATGGTTATTACTGTATTATTAAGTTGAGTTTTGTTCAGATTGTTTATAAATATATGTAAAGACAACTTTATTTTATATTTTATATCTTAATAAATAATATTTTTAAGGCTTGTTACGAGCACTGTTGTCCAAATAAGCCCTTTTTCTCACTCTAAGTTGTTCTTTATTGTATTTGGCAGATGTATGCTTAGCATTGATTTGAAATGTATAAAGGACTTTATAAAAAAAAAAAAACTATACATAAAGATTTGCACAACACATATGGGTATATAATATATTCGACGTCTTGCATATTTAGGTTCAGGACTAATTTGTTTTGAACTTAAATCAAATCTGTCACTTATATTAAACTGTATAAAACAAAGAATGTTAAAGCAATAAGAAATAATATTTGTTCCTGTGATTAGCTGGCCTTCAAATGCAGATTTTGTGATCCTTTGGCATTAATGCTTTCTTTTACAGTACATCAATAACCATGTAATAATATGGCAATAACATAGCAAGTTACTATGCCACCCATGTTTCTTGGATATTATGCAATTATTACCACGTAAACTATTTTGTTTGTGCTGTTTTACTTATTCTCTTCATAGAGTTACTCCAGTAAATAAGTGCATTATTACCAAGTTAAAAAATATGAAATTATAGGCTAATAAATGCAATATTTATTAATGCGTAAAATTTTGGTTCGGCCGCTTTACTATCAGCAACAGAGAACTTCTGTTGTACCAAGAAAAAAACATATCTCTCATTAATAGAAAACTGTATAATAAAATAGAAAATCTTGTTGGGGTTTGGATCAAAAGTTTTTTTTTTTATTTTAAGCTTACCTTCAACTGTACATCCAAAAGAAATGTCAACCAATTACAATTTTTAGTTTTTAACGAAATTGTTCTTCAGAACATATGCTTTAGAAAAAATCTATCTAGGGTTTGAGATACATTTTTATTGTGATATAAGCCATTACAAAAAAGGAAATAACATATTAAAAAAAAAGCAAATGACATAACTGAAATAAAAATAAAATGAAATGAAACATAATGTCCGCTACTGAGGTGTAAATATAAATTCAGTGTTTTGGTGTAGATAGCAGTGGCTTCAAAATGTACATAGTGGTACAACAAACACTGCTAGAATTTTTTTTAAAGTTGTATTTTTTACCAGGTACTGTCAATAGAAGTTATTGCATATGTAAAAAAAAAGACGTCATTACAGTTAATACAAGCCCAAAATACTTTTAAAATAAGCAAAAATTGTTAAGGCTGGCAGTACATCCATGTGTTGAGTGGTGGCCTAGTGTTTTGGGCATAGGGCTTGGAATCCTGAGGTTCTGGACCCTTAACCCCACAGTGCTCCCTGGGCAGCACACTCCTCCCCAAGGGGATAGTTTAAATGCAGAGGTAAATTTCTCCAATGTGAGACCAATACAATTCAATTATTATTTGCATTTTATAATCAAAGTGATTTTTTATTATTGATATCACTTAACAATTTGTCTGGATAATAATTCAATGGCTTTTTTATTTTGGGGATTTATGTTTTTCAGGTTTTTTTTTTTTTTTTACTCCACTATCAGTTATCCTTAAGATTTACCAGAAGCCTGGGTGACCATTATAGTTGAAGCAAGAAGTGTGTGTCTTGGACATAATGCATAATTAAAATCCTCCAAAACAATCACTAGTAGTCTTGGCAAGGGTAAGACCGAGATGGCCATGTGGATTGGAATAGGCATTATGAAAATCAAAGAGTGATTACAGTTTGATTGCCCATATTTTGACAAGAAGCTCCACAATGCATTGGCTGTAAAATTTTTGTAATTAGTTTAGCTGTCAGTCATTGGATAAGACAGATGGCCAGAGATTTGCACGTGTGTTTTGCTCCCATGCTATGAGAGAGCAAATGTAATGCCGATGTGGTCTGGCACAGACAGTATATATTGTTCCATGATGATGTAGGAAATCTATAAAAAATGTATACAGAGGTTTGCTTCTTTATTGATGTATACTTTATGTACAGAAGGCAAACAAATTGTGATTATTAAGTCTCTCACTGCATTTAATTTATTTACCTGATTTGTTCATTTGTTTTAGTTATTATTTAACCGCCAAGGAGGTTTCTCTATAACCAACCTAGGAAACATGCATCTTTAAAAGTACATTAGGTTTAACTCATTGCACCATTGAGGTTGTTTAGGGAAACTATCTCTTATTATTCCAAGATAGCCTTGGATGCATGAGGATACCACATTTGTTATGCCACGGCCTATGGAATCTTTTCAGCTCTCTGTTGGGATGTAGCTAACAGCTGCCATTTATCTTTATTCAATTATTACTCACAAAATGTACTTTTTCACTTACGGTTAACTCTCTTGCTTAGGCGTGCTGCCCCATCAGCTGAATTCTCTGTGGACCGAACCCGTCACCTTATGTCCTTCCTAACCATGATGGGACCTAGTCCCGACTGGAATGTTGGACTGTCTGCTGAAGACCTGTGCACCAAAGAGTGTGGTTGGGCCCAGAGGGTGGTCCAGGACCTGATCCCTTGGGATGCTGGCACTGATAGTGGAGTGTCATATGAGGTCAGTATAAATATTTGTTGATTTAAGCTTTAATTACAAGGGGTGGGGGGCAGACGGATGGCTAAAGAGTTATTACAGTAAACATACTAAATGAAAAAAAAAAAGGTATTTTCAGCATCTTTTAAATTGCACCATCATCAGTGCAGAGCGCAAATATAGGACGTGTCTTCTAAAACTGCTACTGTATGCAGTGGAATATGCTGCAATCTTTGGCTCTTTCTATGAAAATATGATTATTGGGTTTGAGAATACAGTAAAAATATAGCAATTAACTCTTAAAGAAGTACAGTATTTAAGATTTACTGTCAAGCAAAAGTTAGCAAATAACCTTCATTTTCATTTTAATGCTTTTATTATATATATATATATATATATATATATATATATATATATATATATATATATATATATATATATATATATATATAAACCAGTTGACACACCTTCCCTGGTGGAAGACGAGAAAGGTTGCTTGGGCCTGGATTAGGATATTGTTGATGCTGTTGTGGATTACACCCCTCTTTAACATTGCATGGAGGTCGGGGACAGTGCTCCTGAATTGCCAGACTAGGGTGGTGCTTCCCCTACATGAGAATGGGCACTGTAGGGTCTGTTTCAACTATGGGAGGGTCCTGGAGAGGAGAGTCCAGATGATTGTTAAGTCTCGGCTTTAGGAGGAGCAGTGTGGTTCACCTTCTGGCCTTGGAACAGTGGAGCAGCTCTATACTCTGCAGGGTTGTCGAGGGTTCTTGGGAACTTTCCTAACAAGTCCACACGTGTTTTTTGGACTTGGAGAAGGCATTCGACCATGTCCCTTTTGGTGTACTGTAGGGGGAGCTTCAAAAGTATGGAGTCGGGGGACTTTTAAATGGGCCTTTCCGGTCTCTGTAAAAGTGGTGCAGGAGTTTGGACTGCATGCCAGCATTAAGTTTGACTTGTTTTGGGTGCATCTTGGACTCTGTCAGGGCTCTGTTACCAGGTCTGTTCACAATCTTTTTGCACAGGACTTTTAGGTGCAGCCAAGGGCTGGACATGGCCTCTTTTGGGGATCAGTGGATCGCGTCCGTGCTGTTTGGGCATCATGTGGTTTTGCTGGTTCCTACCAAATCCTGCAACATGCACTGGTAGTTTGCAGCCAAATGTGTTTTTACAGCCATGGGTCTCAATCAGAAAAAGGTTAGAATAGAGTTCCTTCCTGAGGTGGAGGAGTTCCAGTATCTTGGCGTTCTGTTGACAAGTGTATGGGAGAATGGAGCAGGAGATCGATAGACTGATTGGTGCGGCTGCTGCTATGATGCAGACGTTGCACAGGTCTGTTGCTCCTACCCTCACCTATGGTCATGAAACCACTTCCTTAGAAATAGAGTCAGAAGCTTGGTCATTTGGGAGAGGCTTGAAGTAGAGCAGCTTCTCCTCCACATCCAGAGGAGTCAGCTTAGGTGGGTCGAACATTTTTAAAGGGGGCCCCCTTAATAGCACCCTCTGGAAGTATTCCAGGCATGTACAACCAGGAGGAGGTGCAGGGGATGACCCAATGCACGCTGGAGGAACTATATCTCTCGGCTGGCTTGGGAGCACCTCTGCTTCACCCAAGGGGGCTGGAAGACGTGTCAGGGGAAAGGAAAGTTATGGAGTCTCTGCTGAGACTGCTGCCCCCGTGATCTGTTCCCGGATAAAGCGGAAGACGACAAGTATGAAGAGAAATGCAGTGACATGTATGATGTCAATGCTTGAACCAGAGTTGGAAGGCTGAATCAAAACAAACATGGTTGCGCCAGTTTTAGCTAGAATACTCTCTAGAATACCCTAACGCCTTTTTACTGCAGCAAGGCCTCAGAAATCCTGTCCCCATTTGGATGGGCTGTACCGAACTGAAATTTAGCCCTACTGGAGTTCCCTGTCCAGGCTGGCTGACAAATAAAGAAGTCTTGAATCTTGATCCTGAATCTATTTCTTTTTGAAAAACAAGCAAAAGGACACAATTTACATTTGTTGAAGGGAAGATCTTCTTCCCAACCGGAAGTTAACTCAGTGAAACAAATCAAGAATGTGATACTTCTCAGTATTACTGCTTTTGTGATTGGTGAAAAACACAACATAGCATACTGGTACTGGATTTCTGGTACTTGTTCATTCAAAGAACTGTCCCTCCCTTTTGCGAACACTTTCTACAGAAGGATTTTCAGATCGACTCTGGATATACATAAATAAATATATATATATATATATATATATATATATCAATCTGGTTTTTACCAGGTAAATTTAATGCTCCTACAACACAAATTTTCACTAAAATAAATATTTAAAAGCTTACTACTTGTTTAAGTTGATTTATCAGGTCTCCAGTATTTTCTCAAATGTTTGTTTCTAGGAGGAGAGGATACATATATTTTTATTTGATCAGTGTCATGTGACCCACTACAGCAGCAAATAAGTACATTCATTATTTGTCTCCTAGTGTTTTCCTAAAGGCAAGCTGCAACAGCAGTACTCACATGGCAGATATGATCGCTATATGGGAGAGATACAGGCAGAGATAAAAAAAAAAGGGGTGCTTAGTACATTTCCATCTGCAGCGGCGCCTTAGGCTTGCAGGGCTTGTGCTGCATCATTACGCATGATCCAGCTACTAATTTTTATCAATTTTTTCTATTCTCTTGCTTATCCTTACACTTACAGTTTCTAATCCTTGTTTTTATTTTTCATAGCAGTATGTTTGTAATCTGAGCCTTTGCCCTGACCAGAGATTATTTCTCATGTGCCTTACTTGGTTCCACAGGGTGCCTCTGGGCGCAGTTAACCCAGAAAAAAATATGCTGCCAAAGCTCTGGGCTTCACCGTTTACCATGGTGATCTCATTAAATGTTTCCTTAACAAAAAAAACAAAAAAAAAAACATTCAGTCATAACAGCTTGAGATCCAGACTTTAGAACTGATGTATATGTTTCTTTGTTAGAAAAATTATACTGATGCTTAGGGTCATGAACGTCTGTAAGCCTCCTCATGTTGTCCTGACCCCCCTTGAATTGATAACTGGGATGTAGGCCTAAATATAATAGTTTGCTCTTTTTTTATCTGCACCAAAATAGATGTTCTCTGTAATTAATTCATATACTACTGTGTGTGCCTCTGTTAATTGTATTAAATTTAAATTTGATGACATAGGATTGATAGTTGTAGTTTTAGTTCAGATTACAATAAGTTCATCTTGAGTTCATCTGAAACGTATATTGAGTATTTTTAATCACCCTCTGCCTGCTAATATTGATTTCCCCGACTCTCACTGCTAGATCAAAAGAGTAATATGGAAATTATGTGATTTAAAGGTGTTAGCTGGTTACCATAGTTACAGGAGTGAGCTGGGTAGATGGGGTAAGAGTCTATGTATGTTACTAACATGGGAATTTTTTGCAACTTTAATATTACTTTGAACCAGCAATGGCAAGTTGCATCTACAGTATGAACTCAGATGCTTAGCTGACTTCACAACATTATTGTTAGGCCACTACCAGTAGCACTGGCTTATGTAGGGTTGGACTATCTGCCAATATCTTAATTTATCATGGTCTGTTGGCCCAGATAGGAATAAGCACATACCATATGCAGTGTTGTGTGGAGACAGAATTGTGTTGGCATAAGTATTTGGAAATAACCTATTCTGTAATGTATTTACAAAGCATAATACATAGTTTGACTAACAGACACTGTTTTATATGCAAAGTAAACTCCAAATAGACTAATTTTTACATGTTAGAGCAATTCACTCATTTTGTTTTTGCACGCGTTTCCCATGCTCTAAAACAGGGGTGCCCAACCTTTTTTAAACCAAGATCTACTTTTGAAGTTGATGGCATGCCGAGATCTACCAAGCCAAACACAAGGGATGGGCAGTATTTGTTTTTTATTTGCACAGGTGGAGAATAAACAGTAAGTCCAACAAACAAGGAAATTATCAATTGTGTCAACAAAAAAAATAGGTTGCAAAAACAGAACTTAACAATCTCATAAGAAATTCACCATATCTCTCTCTCTCACTCACTCACTCACTCACTCACTCACTCACTCACTCACTCACTCACTCACTCACTCACTCACTCACTCACTCACTCACTCACTCACTCAC